ATTGTAAATAAATTGTATTTTTATTGTCTCAATCTCAGGTGTCAGCGATGGATCGTGACGAGGGCGCAAATGGCAGGGTGCGGTATAGCATCGCAATGGGGGACGACAACCGAGATTTTATGATCTCGGAAGACGGCGGTGTAATTCGGGTAGCAAAGAATCTCAACTTTGAGCGCAAGTCTCGGTATCATCTGGTAATTCGCAGTGAGGATTGTGCGGTAGAAGTCGGCGAGACGCCACGCGATGATACTGTTCAGGTCACCATTACCGTGCTTGATATTAACGACAACGCACCGGTTTTCCTCGATTCTCCCTATTTGGCACACGTTATGGAGAATATGGTGCCGGGTGGCGGTTTTGTCATACAGGTAATATAGTGAATGAAAGAGTTCAAATACTTCAAGTTTTCGAACGTTGATTAAAAATCCTTGTGTTCATCAATCAGATCAACTGCCCGAGTTTAGAAAAAACAGATACAATAATGTAAAAAATTAAAATCTCCTAAAATCAGCGCGACTCAAAATTTTACTTATATGGGCGAATTGAACGCATCTTCGTGAAAGAATTGAAATTAAAATTTTATACATATCCGTCCGAAGGTCAAGGCGTATGACGCGGACACCCCGCCGTACAACGATCAAGTGAGATATTTTCTCAAAGAGGGTGACACTGACTTATTCCGTATAAACGCGAGCACCGGCGACATCTCACTCCTTCGTCCGTTGGACAGGGAATTGGTGCCCGAGTACACGCTCACCTTAGTGGCTATGGATACCGGTAAGTTACGTAACGTATTCGTTAAATACCTAATGTAGCACCAAACATTCCAACGATATTCCAGCTATATCTTAACATTTCATCAATATAACATATAAATGTAGAAATATTGCTAGAATATTTTGTGTCGTATGTAAAAACTCATATAGATAAATTAATAAAAATATATTGAGTTAACATGGAATTATTAAAGTGGAAAATATATGTTGCATATAGAATATTTGCGTATAAATGCACTTCGTTTGCTTGCCAAAAAATAACGCGAATCAAAACGAGAAAAAAAGCTTTTGCGACAATAAAGATACTGGATATTTTTGAGATCTTCGCTGCTAAATAGATGTGTATCCCGTTTACAATTTATCATACAATGGCCGACAGTGAAAAGAGAGCCCCTTATTTTTTGGTAGATTATTTTGGTATTATTATTATTATTATTTTTCGATCTACCTCGCTATCGGTCTGTGTAAAATTGATTGCGAATTAGTACAAACAAAGAATTTAATTAAGCTTGACTCAATATATAATATAGCTGATCAAAAACTATATAGCTAAAATTATTGTAATTTAAATTTGTAATTTATATTCAATAAAAATGAACAAACATTCGACGATATTCCTTTTAAACTTTACTTTCTTCTTTAAAAAAAAAATTAATATTTATATTTATTTTATATAACTTTGATATTACTTTCTTTTTTCATATTTATATTTTAATTGCTATCATTGCGATATTAATTATAACATTATTATAATATCACAAATCGAGATATACGCTTATCTTTTTTTATTATATATTCGAAGTCATTTAATTGGCTATCAATTGACTTTACGATTGGCATGATCGCTATAATTTCCAATCATTCCGCACGAGATCGATTTCAATGTCTGCAAAATTATGTCCGCGATCGATACGTGCTAATTCTTTATGCAAACCATACCACTAGACGTCTATCAAACGACGACTCGCCGAAATGTCAATATCGCCAGCAGCGAACGCCGTCCAGCACATAGACGAGAAACGATAGACTATGTACGTGGTGGGTTTAAGTAATGAGCGGTAATATACAAATTGGATATAAATTTGTGGGTTGTTCGATGAGATTCTTTAAGCGGTGGGCAGTTCCTCCCTCTTAAACCTTCCTTTTTTTTCTCCTCGCTTCCTCTTAGAAGCCGGTAGTCCTCCCCCGGTCCTTCCCCTCCCCCCCGGCCTTCATCCCTTCTCTGCCCCCTCCTATCCCGCCCTCGGTCGCAGTGGCTCGATGGCCCAATCGGTCCCCGGCGAGGTAGACAAGCCCGCAGAGTTATGACGCGCGATTATGATAATCGGCCTCGAATGCCTTCCTCCCTGCCTGCCTCGGCACTGGCACTGTCCTCTCCCCTCTCCTGCTCCATTCCTCCCTCCGATTCTCCCGTTTGTCCGCGGGCCTTATGCCCCCTTCTACTCCCCCCTCCTTCTCCCTCATCCGTACGCCTCATTCCTTACCACCTTACCATCTCGTCCGTGCCGTCTCCTCCCCCTCTGCCTTTCCGTTCCGCCGGTCGTGAGACCCCGCGCGCGTTTCGGCCCTCTTCCCCCGTTGAGAGTGCCATGCGTCTCTCTCTTTTGGATAGGGCCCATACTCGCACATTATATTCTACTTTATTCGCACACGTCGCAGCGCGATGTCACGCTTTCGCGCGCGCCAGCGCACTCTTACATCTCCGGAGCGCGTATTTTTGTCTTGCGCGACGCGCATCGTCGACGATTACGGGGTCTTGCGATCCCTTCGGCATCTGCCGCATGTAAACAGGATGTCTTATTGAGAAATACAGAGACGATTTATGATTTCGTTTTATATATTATTTCTTTGTAATTAAAAGATATTCCGTATTGCCCAGAATATGTACAACTGACGCTTCGAGAATCATTTCTTAATTCCTTTTTGATTAGGATATATTTACGAGAAATCATATACATGCGTCTCAATATCTTCTACGTACCGAAGAGAGCGAGATTAACGATTTTCCTAAAATCCACATTTCTGAACAACTGAATTCGGCATTTCAATTGGAAATTAATGCAGTAAGCAAGTCGTTTTATTACTGTCATTAGTAAGTAGTAAACAAATTATACAATTATTCATTATGCAAAGTGGGACATCCTTCCAGATTCTGAACTCCTGGAAATGGCATTCGCATTCATTATATTATCCACCGCAATTTTTATATCGCTACATTCCTTGTTTGTTTCTTTTTCTTTCTTCACATTTTTTTTCTTACAAGTTTTTGTTTTCAATACTTCTATTACTCCAAAATGAATTGTTAATTTCATTTGTCAACGATTTATTTATCGTGAAATAAAAATAAAAATTATTTTTAATTATTATTATAAAAATACAACTAACTAAGAGAACTGTGATATTTAAATAAATCACACATATACAAGAGTTATTTGCTATGACTATGATAAATGACATCTTTTCTTGTCTTTGATTTTAATCTTTTATTAATTATAAATTAAATATATATATTTGAATAATAAAAAATAAATAATTAATAAAAAATTGAAACTAAAAACAAGAAAAGATGTCATTTGATAAATCTTGTCGCTTAACTATCGCAATTTTTTTGTAAAAAGAATAATAATTGTTTTTTATAATCATAATAAAAAATAATTTTTACTCGTGTGTGTGTGTGTATGTGTGTGTGTGTGTGTATGTG